TACAGGCATGAGCCACTGCGCCCAGCCAGAAAATGGCATTTTTAAAAAAGGTTCTGATGAGCCCCAAAGACAGTTCGCGGTCAGTGCCTGCGTCAAGTCAAGCCTGGTCACAGACCTGGCAGCGACGCTGGCCGTGCAAAGGTCATTCTTTGTTCTGAAAACCGGCCCAGCGACACACGAGCTCCCGAAACGGCACAGCACAAAGAGCGAGGCGCTAGTTCACAGACTTCACGCCCAAAACGGGACACACAGATGAATGGGGCTAGAGCACAACCCCAGGACGAGAAAGGACAGCACAGGACTGCAGGTGGGCACGGAAGTCTCAGGCTCAGAGAACATCAGAGCCGCAGGGAGCCTCAGACACCACTGTTTCCACTCATTTTACAGTCCAGGCTCAAAGAAGCAAAACGATTAGCCCAACGCGAAAGAATCTGTCCCCAAACTCGGGTCATTCACCGCAGGGAAGGAGTGCTCTGTGTCACCCTCCTGCGGTTCAGTGAGTCAACAGAGAGCCACGCCAAGGCCACCCATGCCCCACAGGAGTGGAGAAACAAGATTCGAGTAGGCCTGTTAGAAGTCAGACTTTTCAAAGAGAAAGAAAAGCAGTTAAAGATCCAAACTTAAAATTACCAGAATATTTTCCTTAAGTAACCACCACATTTTGCATTCTGGTAACTGCTGTCGCAACAGGGTGAAAAGCTGAAATGGCACCACCAGACCCGATGACTGTCCCAGGTAACGTGAGTGTTCTCCCACAGAACAAATGACTCTCGCGTTTTGAGAATGCTGTCAGAGCAGAACTAGGAAGCAAATCGAACGATCCGATGCCCAGTTTAACTTTCTCTTGTCCCTCTCCAGCCCATTCTCCACCCAGAAGCCAGAGTGTCCTTTTAAAAATACAAATCTGATCAGGTAACATCCCTGCCTGAAACTCTCCAACAGCTTCCTCCCAAGGCCACTGCGGACAGAGACAGAGAGGTCAGGCCCCCACCCACCCACCCAGCAGCTCTCTCGACCCCAGGGCCCTGCCCAGCATCAGACCCGCATGGCGCTCCCTGCGCCTGAAACGCTGTTCTCAGCTCCCCACTCTCATCCTGACTTTATCTCCTCACCTCTACTTCTCTTTGGACCACTGTTGTCCACCTTCCTGGCCCCCGGCCGCCCTCCTTTGCAGCACCTGCTGCTACTGCAAATTATTTTGTGAGTCTCTGACGAAAACCTGCTCCCTGCAGCCAACCCTGAGCCCCCTGAGTGCAGCCATTCCTGGTTCTGTTCACCATTGTATCTCCAGTAGCTAACAGATACTTACTAATCATTAATTTAATTACAGAAGAAACAAACCAATGATGGACCTATGATGGACCTAAAGGGCGGGCTTTTAAGAATACCCGGCACAGAGAGATTTAGGGAAAGTTTGAGCCCTTCTCAGCTAAGCTTTCAGCATTTCAGACAGAAAGTACTTTCCCAAACGGAAAGGTGGGAAAAAGCAAATCCTTCATAAAAGTGCTAAGAAAATGAAACCAAGACTGTTAATACATATATTAGCCTTTTAATTAACAACAACAAAAAAAAACTATTCACTTTTCAATCACCTTTTTTTTTGATCGCCCGAGGGGGTGCACCGTTCCTGAAGTCCTGCAATACCAGGTCGATGCGTGGAGTGGACAGGGCAAGCTCCTAGTCCATCTCCCTGCTCCAAAAATCCATTTACTATATTGTCCTCGGATAGAGGACGTATCAGATATTAAACTGAAAAGAACAGATACTACACTTGACCTTGGCTAAAGGGCTGAAAAGCGATTCAATCAACTTTTACTGTCACTGTTTTCATTGCAGTGGCTCTGAACACACTTGGGAATTACCTTAGCCATGGGCAGGTGACTTACTCCCCCAAAACTACCACTGCCACCACCACCACAAAGAGAGTTCCATTTTTTTCTGTCTACAAGTTTCTTTCCATATTCTTTGTGCCAGTAAGTTAGAAGCCCTAGAGCAGCACCGTCTAACAGAAATGTAATGCAAGCCACAATTTTCTAGTAATCGTATTAAAAAGGAAAAGAAAGAAACGAGTGAAATTAATTTTAATAATACCTTCCATTTAACTCTAAACACCCATTTATTATCTTTCCACATGTAATCAATAATTTTAAAAATTATTAATAAAATATTTTACATTTCTATTTTCTGCACTGCCTTAGAAACCCGTTGTGTATTTCCACCTACAGACAGAACATCTGGATTCAGACCAGCCACACGTGGCCAGAGGACCCCGACATCAGCCACACCTCTGATAAATTATTTGCTCTCGTCCTTAAAAAAAACTTGCGGAAAAAGCTTTTAATGTTCCCTGTCTTAGACAAAGCAACAACGTGGGGTCGCACGTTCACTGCGAACAACAAACACGGAGGGAAGAAACCGAGGTCAGGTGGGTGTTGGCGTCACGGTACCTCCGCAGCTCGTTCATGACTTTGAAAGCCTTCTTCATGTGCCAGGGGCTCACTGCCACGGGGCAGTGTTTTTCCGCATTATCATCTTTTGAATCGAGAGGCTTCTGATGACCCTGCTTTGTGCATCTGTATGTGAAAGAAAAGAACAAAAACACAGAAAAAGATCTTATTAAAGATAATGTAGTTCGGGCTTATTAAGCTACAGGTGACACAATGAACGCCCCTCCCCTGCGCGTCTAGGAGTCCCATGGCCAGGCCGTCCCCAGTGTCAGATTAAGACACGATTCAGAACACTTTCTGGTGATCACTATGGTTGCAACAAAAAAATATGTAATTATCTCCCTGGCATCAAAGCCGTCCAAGAAGAACACAGAAAATTCAGGGAAAGTGGTCCAACAGATACCTCCAAGTAAAAATGCTGAGAGGTGATCTTTTCTGTTGGAAATTAACTTGCTTTTACAACCTGCTATAGTCATACATTATTAACAAACCAAGACAGGAACAGGGTTATATTTTACACAAACTTCAGAAACTTAGAATCTGATTTTATTTTGCTCTCTACCTGCAAAGATATTTACCCATATATTTTAGACCTTCACCAACAAGAGATTAATCACGTTACCCGGGTTTATTAAGTATTTACCACACGGCAGCCACAGTGCTGAGCAGTTTGCTTTCATTAACTGGTTAATCCTCACAACTCTGTACACTAATTACTATTATATCCCCATTTAACAGGTGAAGGGTAAACCTGGTAAACCTGGTAAACGGCGGCGCCGGGCAGGTGCAGCCCGTCTGAGTCTCCATCTTATCCTCACTAGCGTTCGATACCACGTCCTACGTTACACAAGCCATATTTAAATTTACAATTTCTAAGAGCACGAGGCTATATTAGCATTGCTAAATGAATTATTCTTTCAAGACTTCGGGGACAGGCCGAGCGTGGTGGCTCACGTCTGTCATCCTAGCACTCTGGGAGGCTGAGGTCGGTAGATCGTTTGAGCTCAGGAGTTCGAGACCAGCCTGAGCAAGAGCGAGACCCCTGTCTCTACTAAAAATAGAAAGAAATTAGCTGGACAACTAAAAATATATAGAAAAAATTAGCAAGGCATGGTGGCGTCTGCCTGTAGTCCCAGCTACTCGGGAGGCTGAGGCAGGAGGATCGCTTGAGTCCAGAAGTTTGAGGTTGCTGTGAGCTAGGATGACGCCACGGCACTCTAGCCCGGGCAACAGAGTGAGACTCTGTCTCAAAAAAAAGAAAAAAAAGACTTAGGGGACAAAAAATTAACACATAAAATCACGGTACCATGAGGAGGGGGACAGAGAATTAACTGAAAATTAATGACACAGGGAACATCTTGAGGTGATGCTTGCACAACTAATAAATTTACTAAAAATCACTGGGTTGTACAATTACAATTCGTGGTTTTTATGGAATATAAATTATACCTCAATAAAGCTATTACATAAAAAAAACCAGAGCGCCAATTTTTTAATCAGGCTTAAAAAATTAAGCCTAAAAATTTCGTACTGGTACATATATCAAAGAACAACCAAACATCACTACTAACTGCTGCACTTCTCTTCCTTTCCTGACCCATTTCTGAAAGGATGATTCATCTTTTAAAATATTATTATTAATTCATTTGGCAAATTCTTTCTAGCGCCAACCACGTACCAAGCACTATTCTTAAGGCACTCGGAATAGTTAATGAATAAAACAGAGACCCTGTCCTCAGAAAGGGCAGAGTCCAGTGGGGGACAGGGGCGACAACAAACCAACCGGCAAAGCAGAGGGCATGTTCAGGAACGGTAAGTGCTACGGGAACAGCAGGGCAGGGTGAAGAGAACGAGAAATGCAGGGCAATGGTGGTGGGGGTACAGTCTGCATACGAAATAGGGTGCTCGGGGAAGGCCTGATTGGAGCTGAAAACTGAACAGGCTCGGAGAAGAGAGAATATGCAGGTGGAAGAAACGGCTCGAGCGAAGGCCCGCAGGTGCCTGGCGTGTTCCAGGACTGAGACCCAAGGCTGGAGCAAAGGGCTGGGGCCGGGGAGGGGAATGAACATCGCGTAGGTCTCACAGGACACTACGAGGACTTTGGCTTTGACCTTGAGTGCATGGGAAGGCACGGCAGGTGTGATACAATCCAACTTACGTTTTCAAAACGTAAGGCTTCTGGTTGCGAACAGTCTGTATAGGTCAGAGATAAGAAGGGGGAACTACTGAGGAGGGTGGCACAGTGGTGCAGTAAGGGAAGACAGCGCGGCGTGGTAAGTGGCTGGTGCTGGATACTTTGAAGGTCCAGCCAACAAGACCTGTCGGCAGCAGATGAGCGACGCCAAAGTCAGAATGATGGCAACTCTTTCGGCCAAAGTGGAAGGACGGAGTTTCTGTTAATTGAGGTAGGGAAGGCTGCAGGTGGAACCAGTTTGGGGTAAGAAGATTAAGAACTCAGTTTTTATCCATCCTAGTTTTAAGGTATGAAGGTGAAGACATCAAATCTTCAGATAAACACTGGAGTCTAGAGTTGGGGAGAAAAATCTAGTTGGAGACAGAAATTTGGGAATCGCTGGTTATGTGGGTGGGGTATGAAGCCATGAAACTGAGGCACTCAATGTGAAGGCAACCTCTGAAATCAATCGTAGAAATTATCTTTGCTCATTCCCCCAACCCCAGAACCAGCACTAGTAGAGGCATCTGATGCTTTGAGGTCTTACCTACTAGAAGTGGACCTCAGTTCCACGTCCAACCGCTTGAAAGTGTTGAAGGGGCCTAACAAACAGATGGGCGCGAGGGGCCGCCCCGCAGAGAGAGCCCACCACTGGGGTGGAAGGGTGAGGTGGCTCCACTCCCCACGGCCTGGACAGGGGGCACGTAAAGGATGAGTTACCCCTGGTCCAGGAAGGGACCGCACTGGTGGGTCTGGAAGCCGAAAGTGAAAGAACAGTCACATCTGCAGGGAGAGGGATGCGTAAGTGTAAGACATATACTCTCTCTCCTGTTGTATGAAAACAACAGGAACCGGGAAAAGGGGAAGTTGTGTAGACGTACGTGACCCACGCAGCCGTCTGACCACGTAACACTGATTGTCCACACATATAGCGAGGTAATGTTTAGTACGTATCTGCTTCTGCTATAATAATTTAGAGGTTGCAACAGAGGAAGAACATTATACTGAGGATTAGCAAAACTATCACAGACGTTTTCAACACTCAGAGTGGAAGCGAAAGCAACTTTGCCCACAAGAGTATCATTATTTAAAAGTCAAGAGTGTTTATATTTGCTTAAGAAATTAGGAATTAAAATTGCCTACATTAGAGAATTAACTCTGTGAGGCAGCTGCCATACAGCAACCAAGCCCTATTTGGTGTTAAAGACAGTTTCAGCTCCTGCTTTTCCTGATGTACTGCAGAAACTCTGCAAAGAGGAGTTTATTCAAAGGCTTAAAGGAACAAGAAATAACACTGTTTTTAAGTGTTGTCTGTACTGAGAGCTACTTACAAGCACAGCACCCCTACTGCACAGGACTATTTTCAACACGAAGGCCCTTTCTATAATTTTCCATTTCCTACGTGGCTTTGTGTTGATGGCCTCTCCTTCAGAAGCAGAAATGAGTAACAGAAAATGATGCATCGTGTCTGAAACAACAGATGTGAACAGGCAGCTGAGTGGGAGGTAAAAGTTCACCCTTCGAGTTACATCACCTAAATCCAGAACGACACCTTCTCCCTGCTTCCTTTCTGGAGCAAAGAGTCAGCCTTTTCCACAAAAGCTTCTCATTCTGAGAACTGCCTTCTTCAAAATATCTGAAGGAGATACTTTTTCAAGTTTCTTTCACTTTTATGTCTTTCCCCAACTCTACACTCCATAGCTAGTCTTGCAATATCCATCAGCCTACTGTTACCAAAGCGAGTTTTCCCAGGGGTTGGAGTCCAGCATACTGCCGGGCTTCGTAATAGATAACCCTAACCCCTCTCTTCAGTGACTGACTTCTGCAAACTCCCAGCTGTGGCAAGGCTGCTTCTCAGATGAGGTGACTTTCTAACTCTGCCTAAGAACACGCTACTGACGATAATTGAATTCTCAGTGAGGAAGAAAATACTCTAAGAGGGCCGTCTCCTTCTAACAGTCAAGATTTCGTAATCAGGCAAAGGTTTAAACCTACTGCAACAAGTCTGAGACACCTCAGAAATTAGGTATAATTTCTTTAGATATCTATTATTTGCTTTGGAACAGTGATTTTCAATGGAGGGGAATAGAAAGATCGTTAACACCATGAACAATCTTTCAAACTACGCACAACCACCCCTCCTCGTGTGAAGAGTCACGCAAGCCCTCGTAGGACTAGGTGTATCTGAATGACGGCATCTCCAGGGTAGGGGTGAAAAACAGCTATGCGTGATCTTCAAAAAACCAAAAAAAAGGTGATGTAATATGTCCCAACACCCACTTCCCTCCCACCGGAGGACAATTATCCCAGATTGAGAACAAGCACTTTAGAAAATATGGACTGTTTACGCTTTTAGCGTTTTTCTGGTGGAAACAATGCTACAGTTCATGTGAACAATGCAGCTCCAACACTTAACAGAGAAGCGAAGACACTTCCGCATTCAGGACATAAACACTCGGCCCGGGGTGGCCACCATCTCAGCTCCCCCCTCTGTCTGTGCACCTCAAAAGCTGCAAGACTCCCCTGCCTGCAGTGAGTCACCCGCCATTACTCACACATTTCTGCCAAGTGCGCGTCGGCAGCTGTTGTTTTCAAAGTCACCATCCATGCCGTACTGTTTTGAAGTTTCTGCATTACCTTCTAACATTTCTTCTATTTTCTCTGCTGTCTTCCCAGCTCAACTCGCACTCAGAACTTGGTATCTTACTAGCATTGCTCCCGTACACAACTCCAGGATATCAGAAGTATAGGGATTCAACCATAACTAGTATTTTAGGTTTTTCAACAAAATACTCTCACATCCTTCGCTCAAATAACAGCCATATTACTTAGAGACAGGGAAAGTAGAGGGCTTTCTCTCCTGGAAACATGTTTTGGTTTACGGTAGGGTTACGGTTTCTAGGTTTTGCTATTAGCTAAAGGCAAAGAGACGCTCTGCAAATTTTCTTCGAGG